GTAGGTCCGTGGGGCGTGTCTGGGTCCAGGCACAGGTCCCTGGGACCTCACAGGGCTGTACGAGCCGTGACAGGGGCACATCAGCCCGGGAATGGCCGCACAGGTGCGGGTGAGCAGGGCTGCATCAGCACGGGGGCGGGGGCCTGGACAGCTCCGGGGTGCGTGAGCTGTGGCGTTAGTGCCCAGCCCAGACAGGGGTACGTGGGCCACCCCAGAGGCGCATCGGGGAGCAGTGCAGCGGCCGAGGCATGTGCTCCTACACGGTGTTAGGAACAACTGTACATCATAAGCTGTCTCAGTGCACTTTTTGTCCTTTGGCAGATGTCTGAAAGAGGAATAGGAGTGTTGCTTGGCTTTAATTTATAAGCAGCAGTGCTTTGACGTAGATCTGTGAGAAGTAATAATTTGCAGACTCCCCTCACTCTCTCAGGGTTAGATCACTGGACCTGGTGAAGACACACAGGAGGGGACCTGCCTGCACAAAGCATGCTCCTTGTTACGTCCAACTCAGGGGATCAGGTGTTTTTTTGTACTGGGTTACAGCATGCTGTGATACTTTTAGCATGTGCCAGGTGTTAACAGTCACGATGATGCCTGAGGATGTGGCCTAGAAACCTCTGTGGTGGCTGTCCTGCACAGGGGAAATTTCCACTCCGGGTTGATGATCTGTGGCCAGATAAGATAACAGGATGATCACAGTCTGTTCAGAGCAGAGCGTCTGACCCTATCATCAGTGGTGGCCTCCTATGTATGAAAATGCCCCTGAGACAGAGCTGTGGCAGCTCTGCGCTGTGCAAGTGTAAATCTTAAATTAATTCAGACGGCGGAGTCTCGTCTGCTCAGATGGGATCAAAGTGGCTTTTTGGAAATCTTGCTCTTAGCATTTTGCAGGGTACCTCTTGCATTCCTGAAAGTGTAAAGACAAAGACAACCCTTTCCCACAACAGCTTACAGAGATCTGACTTTAATTTTTCTCACATTGTACTGAAAGCAAAAAGCCTTTGCATGTGTTCCTGAAACAAGTAGCGTCCAAAAGTCCGTTTGCAGACAGGAAATGGGTTAGCAGTGCCTGCTAAGCACTCCTCCTGCCTCTGAAGGTGACAAGCGAGTCTCCTGTGTACATCAGAAATCCGAGCTTTGAAAATTTGTTCAGAAGCAGTGAAATATTTCAGTGTGGGAAAAAATGATTCATTGAAATGTTCTGATGAGCTCAGTGCATCACCAGCCCAGACATGGCTGTGAACTAGCACCTCTGGATACGGAGGCATGAAATACAAGTTCAGGCATTGCAAGCACTCCAGAACACTCTGCTTCCGTTCATTCATTATATATACAGTTTATAGTCTAGACCTGAATTAATAAGTGGCTTTGTGACTTACTCAGCATGCTTCTGTCTCTGCTCACAATTCGTGATTTCTCTCAAGTGTGATCAAATTATTTTGACAAGTGTCTCAACTTGTATTTGTGGTTGGGATTCCTACCTTTTCTTAAATTGTGATTTTCTGTGTGATGCTCTATCTGTTCCTTGTGGAAGAGCAGAAAAATCCCTCTCACAGTGCTGTGCATGTTCCCCCAGCCCCAAAACAGGGTTTTACCACCACCCAGAAGCAGGCTGAAAGCATGCTTTTGGCTGTGGGGGAGAGGAGAGCTGTGGTGGCACATCCCCCTGCCAGACCCACAGCCTCAACACCCAGGGGTAATTTGATGGGGGCAGCAGGTCTCAGGGGACGTATGTGGATTAATGTGCAATGGGATAGAGGACTCCAAACTGTGGAAAAGCAGATGCCTCATTCTGCTTCTTGGGGAACAGCTTTCTTAAAGGCCCGTGCTTCCAGATGGAGGTGGACAGGGAACGTCATGGATTACGTCAGAGTTAAATGTTTTCCTGAGGAGTCCTGTTGCTTCCTCCGGGCTGACAGCAGCAGTAAATAAGCCATTGTTTGATGTGGGTGTTCATCCAGGTTCAGACTGTTGCAATTTCTCAGATAAACAGCTCCCTCTGAATTCCTGGAACAGACCCTGGCTAACTTGTTTTAATGTTAGTTGATTTATTTTATTTTATTTTATGTTAAGTTGTTTTCATGGTGTGAGATTGTTCCAGCGCTACTGAAGTTACTGATCGTCTGCCCGTTAGTTTCCTTGGTCTTTGGACCACATCATAGTTTAAAATGAACGAGCAAACTATGTCATTCTGAAATGAGAATTTAGATGAGTGATACTGGGCTGTAACCAAGTGTAGAGTTTCTTGGTGTTTTGAGTTAGTGAATGTGATGAAGTAGTGTAAGTGTAAAGGACCACAACATTTCTTTCAGAAGCAGGGAAATTCAGGATCAGGCATCAAGGTCCAGGAAAATTAGTTGGAAAATATTCCACTTGTCTGGAAAATACCCTAGACACATGCTTGTGTACTGTCTACCTAGTGACAGATCTCTGGACATCACAGCCAGTGTAATGCCACTGTAAATAGCCATATGCCATCAGGAACATAGTACAGAGTGAAGAAGTCATCTTCACCTGCTATTCAGGCACACCTGAGGCAGAGGTGGACAGCCCGTGGCAGCAAAAGGACAGGGAAACGACCTCTGTGCTGTTTTTAATTGCAGTGCTGAAGCCAGGACGTTGCTCTAGAATGCAAAAGATCCCTGCTTGCTTTGACAGAGGCTTTCAGAGAACCACGTACACCAAGGTACTTAAGCAGTGGACCTTGTCTGAATGTGGAACCTCCGTAGGCAGCAGCAGTCAAAGCTCCCATCCAGCCCTGCCTTCAGATTCCCTTTCTGTCTCACTTCAATTTGTTTTATAAGGCCAAATTTTCAGTCGCAACAACTGCTCCGGCTCTTTCTGTCCCTGGCACACCTCATGTAACGGAGCCCAGTGTCCTTACCCAGTCTGCCCGTGTAATTTCAGTCTTTTGTGTCATGCCCAATCTCCTTTTCACCACATTAATTGCTGCTCATTTGAAGGCATAATAACCTTCATTTTGCAATGAATGGCTTGACGTTCCAGGAGGAAAGCTTTTGTACGCTAATGATCTGTTATATGGCCTCTCAGTTTATTATGGTATGTAATGGAAAATAAAAATTAAATATTGTTTGTACTTATCAGCTAATTTAAATACTTCAGTATCTCGGATGTTACATCTTTTCTGCTATTGAATAGTGCTGTAATCTGCATTCAGAAATAGCTCCCTGTAGGTTTAGAAACAGCTCCCTGTATTATTATTTTTTTTTCAACTAGAGCTGGTTTTGTTTGGAAGAAGTGCCATCTAGGAATTAAAAAATGCAGAATTTATTCAAGAAGGATAGTTTCTTTTCCTTCCCTTCTTGCCTCAGTTATTTATCTGTGCTGTGAAAATAACCAAGCCTCCACTGAGTCGTGTTATTTGGAGAGCACTTTTGAGATGCTTGTCAGGAAGATGCATTACAAGTGGAAAATACTGTGTGTTTATTACAAGGAAAAGCCCTTGCAAAGCAGAAGTAAGTCACTTTGGTCAGTTTGTAATTTACAGAGAGTTTTACTGGATTGCAGTGGGCTTTTACATAAGGAAAATGTGCCTGTCGGAGTTCTCGTAGTGGAGATCAGAATGGACTCTCTGAATTTGATTCAGTCCTTAGGTAGATTTCTGGGGCTGCACCTTCCATGAACGAGGGCTGAGCTGCAGCCACTGCCTGTGGACTTTGCCTGGGTTATGGCATTTGGTGCTCACTGTCTGAAATCCTGTAGCCCAAGCATCCCCTGCAGAACTTGGTGGCCAGTGTTGTGATCATAAGATTCACTTCACCACTTCTAGTCAGGTATGTAAAGTGTCTGTAGGCAAAGACCTGCCAGCAGAGGCAGCTGGATCTGAACGAGGATGGTGTGTACAGTGATAGCATGCCAGGGCTGGGTGCACTGTGTGGTACAAAGGGTGGCTGTCCTCCTGTGCTTTCTCGTCCCACTCCTTCCCACCCGTAGATCATGTCTGTGTTTGAGGTGCTTGTCTGGATTGCCAGATGATGAGGTATGGAAGCCACAGGCTTTCGCCCTGCCAACCTCTCCCATTCCCTCCTCAGCCTGGAGATGCAAGACCTGAATCTTCTTAGCTGACTCCTTGGTTTCACTGCTGTGCTGCGGTGAATCTTCTTGTTATTTCACAGATTAAGGCAGAACATCCAAGATAGAAAGTCTCTTTTTTTTCCCAGTACAGTCTACTAAGATGTAGCAAGATAAGTGTCATCACTGGTTTTCTTGAGTTAGTTCTCTGGTTGGAATAAATTAATAGCAGCATGAGGAAGCCAGCTTTCACCAGGAGTATTGAAGATATCTCTGTGAATGCTGAGATAACCTCCCTTTCTAAGACTTTTTCCTCTGTTAATATATCTTCAGAATAAATCATACGGTATGTTGTAATAAGGTGAAATTTCTACAGTTAGTATTGCTGCTCAGCTGTTTCAAATCTGGTCCAAGAGATGGCTTGAGGCTTTTTCTCTCTCTCTCTAGGAGTGCTCTCCATATGCAGCTCACTTGTACGACGCCGAGGATCCCTCCACCCCTGTACGGACAATACCAGGACTTTGCCAGGACTATTGCCTGCAAGTGTGGCACAAGTGCCGCTCCATTTTTCGCTTTCTCTCTGCAGACCGAGAGTTAATTGCACTGGAGAACAACGCGGCAAAATTCTGCCAGTACCTGTCCTTGGAGGACACGGACTACTGCTTTCCACACCTGCTGGCTAACCAGAACCTTAACCAAAACCTGGGGTTAGTGACCGCCGGGGCGGAGGGTTGTCTCCAGCTCTGCCTCATGGAGGTTGCCAACGGGCTGCGCAATCCTGTGGCGATGGTGCACGCCAATGACGGCACCCACAGGTTCTTCGTTGCGGAGCAGGTGGGCCTGGTGTGGACCTACCTCCCCGACCGGTCCAGGCTCCAGAAGCCCTTTCTGAACATCAGCAAAGCCGTACTTACCTCACCTTGGGAAGGGGACGAGAGAGGTTTTCTAGGTATTGTCTTCCATCCTAAATTCAAATTTAATGGTAAAGTCTATGTCTACTATTCAGTTGAAGTTCATTATGAAGAGAGAATACGAATCAGTGAGTTCAGAATTTCTCCTGCTGACATGAATGCTTTGGACCACGGTTCTGAAAGGTATTGTACATGCATTTCTCTGGCAAATGTATTTGAGATCTCAGAGGGCAGCTTGTGCATTTTTAAAGGCTGTTCGTGAATGTGACTTCCTTAGCTTAATATTTTTCTTGCATTCCAGCTTGGTAGCAAGTTAGCCCAAGTCCATGTCTAGTATACTGAGACAGAATATGCTTGTTCTCCGTGGATGAACTGCAAGTGCTCAGGGATAAAACATTTGCATTTCTCAGTTCTGGCATGTCGAAAGACTTAACCGAACATGGATTAAACAGTTAGTATTTGGGGATTTTTTTATTTTAAATATCCTAATTATTACCCTTTACAATAGATTTCTCCAAAGCATGAGTGAAATCCTTTCCAAAGCCAAATATTTCCAAAATAAGTGTAAACAAACTCAGTGTTATGGGACCAAAGATGGATTTGGCCCCACGTTTCTTTACCTGAATGGCAACTCAACCCTGTGATATTACAAATTTAGTAACAGATTAAATGAAATGCAAACCATTGTGCTATTAGTGAGTGCATTTTGATTGGAAATGCCATTGGTTTGAGTCTGATCCTGCAGCTGATCCACATTAGTATGCACAGATAATGAGAGGTTTGTTTGTGGAGACAATCTATAGATTTATAACCTGATGCAGGACCACGTAATAGAACCACTGTTAACAGACCCTTGAATATTATTTTAAGATTTTTGCTTTGTTACATGGATTATATTAGGGCTTTCCAAATAATCAGCAGTGGATGATTCTAGCTCTAAAAGGCACGTAGGCTAATGGTAGAAAGGGGATGGTGGTTTATAAAGCAATTATGGCAATTCAGTGTGAGCAGCTCTCACACTGCTCTCTAATGACAGGGAAAGGGAATTGAAATGTGGTCTTCAGGAAAGCGAGTCAGGAGCTTAAACCTGCACATGTCAGGGCCCATGAGATGTCTTGTTTAAAAATCCTCAGGCTCTACATTTGCAACATTTTCTGTGCTTATTTAGCTCATGGTTAGTATGACAAAAGCTTAAGAAAACAAAATTGTGGTCCTGTTGTGCTTGTGTAGGCACGATGCCCAATGACTCCATCCTGAGATGCTGCCCAAGAGGCAGCTTCAGCCAACACATGGTGTGCGTTGCCTTAGCAGAAGGGCGTGTATCTGTCCACAGACATATGTCTGTGTTTTGGTTTTTTCCATCTTTGGGAGGTTGTGGAGGATTTCCCTTTGGGTCTACACGGATCCTACCTCACTCGTGCTGCTGGCTGGAGTCAATGCGCTCATGCACATTTACCTTCTCTCAGAGGTGGTGACATTTAACAGCGGGTGACAATAATTACATAGTTGGATTCCTTCCCACAATTTACAGTCTGATCACAAGCTGTCACTACTTTCAGAAGGGGGAAAAAAACCTTGCTAAAAATGAGGTGGCATAAGTGATTATTATAAATTTGTTTTTGCAGCTATTAAGAGGCACTGTCAGCACAAAATCTGGACTTTTCTTAGAAGATGGAGTAAAATAAATTTCAGTTATACCTGGGAACCTCCACTGCATGTATTTCTGCCTTTACTATTCTGTAAAGTTATACTTTATATATTTCACCCTTTTCATAATAAGAAAGGGATGCCAAGTGCATAAAATAAACAGATATGAGTAAGAGGGAGTTTGAGTTTTAAATGAAGGTAAAGATTGTTGGTACGGCTTTGAATAACCTTTGTCAAAGTGTTAGTTTGCTGGTGGGGCAAATTTTAACCACTCCTTAAACTCAGAAAGTCTTGTGTATATAATTATTATTTAAGGATTCTTTTCTCTTTAAGAATTTAACTATTCCTTAATGTTTGCAAAACTTTAGGTTCACTTCAGAAGCGCCTGTCGGGATTGTGCCAAATGCTGTACAGAGGCACAGATGGACTGGAGTCCTTTCTCTTGCAGTTCAAATTGGATTTAAGTTGAGATGCCTTTACTTAAAAAAAATAATTAAAAAAGGAGTTTAACAAGGAGGAAGGAAGAATCAGAGGAAAAGTATAATTAACTAAAAGGTTATTCTGTCATGTGATTTCTCAGATTTTCTTTATTACACAATTTGGTGTTTCTGTAATCTGGAAAATATGATGGCATTATTGAAAGTTAGAAAATCACCTATGCCCAAGCAAAATTCAGTAAGGTGGGTATGGAGGAATTTGCTTAGGGCTTGTGCAGTAGGTAATGCCTCCTCCCTATTTTCACTTAGGATAATCCTGGAGATAGAAGAACCTGCTTCCAACCATAACGGAGGAGAGCTGCTCTTTGGAGATGACGGGTATCTCTATATATTTACTGGAGATGGAGGCATGGCTGGGGATCCCTTTGGGACCTTTGGAAACGCCCAGAACAAGTAAGAGCAGACCCATCCCTACAGCAGCTCCAAGCCACTAGCCTGTGGGGCAGCAGCTCATGGGAAGTCAGTGTCACCTGAAGGCTGTTGGGTGGTCCAAGGCAAATGAAATCATCTTGAAATGGTTGGGTCGGTTTGTTTGTGTGTGTGTGTGTTGTTTTTTTTTTTTTTTTTTTTTTTTTATAAATGGTGAAAGACTAACCTTTTCCAAAACAGAAGGAATGAAACCCTAGACTCTCCAAAAACTGCATCTCTAATGTTTAACCAAGGTCTAGTTTTCTTTTTTGTTCTTTTTTTTTCTTTTATTTTTTTTCCCTTTTTCCTTTTTTTTTTTTCCTTTTTTTTCTAATACAGATCAACCCTGCTGGGCAAAGTGCTGCGGATCGATGTGAACAACAACGACCGCGGGCCCCTGTACCGGATCCCTCCCGACAACCCTTTTGTGAGCGACCCCCAGGCTCGCCCTGAGGTCTATGCCTACGGCGTGAGAAACATGTGGCGCTGCTCCTTCGACCGGGGCGAGCCCGGCAGCCAGGCGGGGCGGGGGCGGCTCTTCTGCGGGGACGTGGGGCAGAACAAGTACGAAGAGATCGACATCGTCGAGAAGGGGAAAAACTACGGCTGGAGGGCGAGGGAAGGGTTCAGCTGTTACGACAAGAAGCTTTGTGCCAATGCCTCCATGGGTAAATAGATGTGCTCCCTAGATTACCTGTGCCTCCCACGGTGCAGTTTTCTGCACTGTCCTTCTTATTTCCTGCCTTCAAAGCTTGGCTGCCTAGTGGAAAACATACATTTCTGAGATGAAAATCTATACTGTCTCAGTCTAGAGGGGAACTGACTTAGGGGTAAATATTGAAAGTCCAGATGTTACTGTTTTTGAGGAAGGAGGAAACTGAAACATACTAGCTGTTGTTTTATAGGTGATCTGTGTTGTTAGTCAAAGTGCTTGGTGATTCTGTGTTTTAGTGGTGCAATTCCATCTTTTCCACATAAAATAAGCTTTCCTGTAGAAGTGAGAAAAATTTGGAGCAAATGCATTTTTCTTCATAACTTACAAGTAGTGTCCTCATTTAAACAGAAAGAAACTTAGTGTGTAAGCTGGCTAACCAGTGTGCAGACTGCCTGCTTTGTAGGTAGCTGAATGTACAGTGTGGTTTTGGTTCTTTTAGCTATGCCAAAAAGGAAGACCTTAAGTTTCTTTGTTTTGTTTTGTTTTTTTAACCTGGATACAGGGTGTTTGCTGGCTGGTTAAATTCCGGTGCATGTGTGAAGTCAGAGTGTTGTGTTGCGAGGTCTGATGCAGATGACATCTTATGCTGGAGCATCTCCCCAGAGATCTAGGGGGGCCATGGGCTGACATTGATTTGCACTAGCTGAGATTCTGGGGTTTATTTTCTCTTCCGTGTTCTATGTGTTGCTATGTAACTTCCTTCCTTTTATTAACTTAGCTACAAGTACAGTGGTAGTGATTAAGTGTTCTTTATAAAAATTTTGAGAACAAGGAGCAGATTTTTTGCACTGCCTTTGCTGAAGCAGTTGTCAGAGAACCTGTTTAACACTCTTCTGTGTGACAGCACCTGCACGAGTGTTCATGGCAGGCTCTTTACTGAGGTCTCTAGGGATTTGGAACAATTTCTGATCCTTCTAGAGACCATTTTGTTAGAACAGTGAAATGTCACAACTCCTTGAAAATGATAAGTGCAGCTGAAGTGTAGAAACTCCTGCTTTAAATGAGATGCCCTTGGTGCAAGTTCTTCACTGGCAGAGCTGCTGGCTTTGCTACTTGGGGCATCTGCTACGTGGGCAGGGAGAAAGGCCCACCTAAGAGGAGGGGTGGGTACCACAAAGAGGTAACCTCTAACCCAAGAGTTTCAAGAGAAAGGGGAAGAAGTATCCAGTGGAGACCCTCAAAATCAGGGTATTTCCTTCTGTTTTGCTCTGTCATGTGTTTTAACTTGCATTTTTCAGTACATCTTGTCTTGATGGACCCTTTCAGGTTAAGCTCCCCTGTCTCAGAGAAACAAGCTATTCACACTGACACCTGACATATTTTTTCATCAGTGCCTGCAATCTGGAGTTACTCGTCTCCTTTTTTCCCCTTTCACCACTGAAACAAAGCTGCATTGGACAAACATCTCCTGCAATTTCATAGCAAAACCAGCCAGGCTGTTTAGGAATGGCCCAGAAGCAGCACTTCTGGTTGTGGTGGGAGAAGAAGGGCTCAGGAGAATGGTGAGATGCCTGGGAGAGAGAGAGCACTCAGGCTTATCAGGCATTCAGCTTATATGGTGTTTGAAACACTGAGCAGTCTCTCTGAGCTGACTTGTCCTTGGTTAGCTCAGCCAGCGAGGCAGGGCAATCAAACGTGGTTCTGAAAAGGTGAACACCAAACTAAGTATGACTCGGTCAGCACTCCATTTAATTACAAGTTGCTCAAGTCAACCTGATGGTATCGCGCTAGTCTCAGAGCTATGTAGACAGAGAGCTGTTGTGCACCGTGTGTAGAAGAAAGCAAGGCACGGGTGTGCTCTCCCCTGCAGATGATGTGCTTCCGATATACGCCTATCCACACGCCGTGGGGAAGTCCGTTACGGGAGGCTACGTCTACCGGGGCTGCGAGTTTCCAAACTTGAATGGCCTGTACATATTTGGTGATTTTATGAGTGGGTAAGTAAATTCTTCAGATGCTTACTAAACTGTACCCCCAGCCAGAGTCCTCCAGTGCTCCTGAGCTGCCTGCTGGTGCTCCTGCAGTGTACAGCTGAGAATATCTGCTGCTTGCTGGTTGTCGGTGCTGGGCGAAGCCTGACTGCTCATTGCAGAGGGGTCCCGTGGCATGTTTTATATAACCTTTATTGCATGGTGCTGTGTAGGAATGGGATCTTTGCATTCCAGCAGCCCTCAATGTCACTGAGTCACATTGTGCCGTTACAAATAAAGGGGCAATTATATGATGTTCATTTAAAGTCCTGGAAGTGGTATAAAAAAGCATTTGAATACATCCTAAAAAAACCCCACCACTCTGATGCAGGGTCTCCAGACACTGAAGATACTGAAAGAAAAAAAAAAATACCATCTGGCAGTGAGTCTGCTGCAGGCCTGTGATGAGGGAAGTGTGAGACCACCTTGTTTTCTCCCCACCTCCTCTGCCTTTGGTGTAACTGCATCTCCCAGGACTCTCACATGCAGCCCCACCACCACCTGCCCTGGATGATGGTCCTGGCTGGAGGAGCAAGTCCACAGAGCTGCAGTAAAGCCAGGCACTCTGTGTCTTGGGCAGCCCCCTTGCAGCAGATAGTCTGATATCCCTTCAAATCTCCCCTATTGGTTTTCCATGTGGTTGTGTTGCCCCTGAAAGACAAGGTGTTGTGGGGGCATAGAATATCTTTGTTTTAATATTAGCATTCTTCTGTTTTTCAGTGGTGCTGCAGTCCCTATTGCCGCTAATGTGGGTCAGAAGCATTAAACATCCTTTCAGGTGTCCTCATTCATGCTCGTAAATCATCTTTTTGGTTGTGTTGTGGAAATGTTCTTTTTCCTTGCAGACGCCTGATGTCTTTGAAGGAGGATGGTGCTAGTGGGGAGTGGCAGTACACTGAAATCTGCATGGGAACGGGGCAGACGTGCATGTTCCCTGGTCTTATCAATAACTATTACCAGTACATCATCTCCTTTGCTGAAGATGAAGCGGGTAATCTTTTAACTTTGTGTCACACTGAATGGCATGCTGTGGTTTCTCTTTGGAGCAAAACACCAGAGAATGGGTCAGAGGGCTCCTGGGAGGCAGCGGGTGGTGGGGAGGAAGAGCACGAGTCTGTCAGTACTTCAGATGCCCATGCATGAGATTCCAGCATCTCTCAAATATCAAACCCAAGTTACAATCCTATTTTTGAGGCCAGCGTGCCACGCAGAGCCTGCAGGGGCAATTGAAGAGGCAGTTCCCTGCAGGACTGAGGCTGGGTGTGCTGCTGCTTGCAAACCTACCTTCTGGAGCGACAGGGAACTGGGAGGGGCAAACGCCATAAAGCACAGCTTAGAAAAGGAACCTCATTCTTCACGTTGCCTGCTGTGTGTTTTCTCACAAGTTCATCACACAGGTTATTTTCACAAGCTTTTCTTCACTGAAGCATTTGTTTTTTGGGGTTGTTGCTCTGATGAATGTTAATCAGCTGGTGCAGTGGATGTGTTTATGCTGTGGGGACACCTCTTTTTTGGGCTCACTGCACAGCCATTGTAAGGCCAGCAGCCCCATCCCCTGGCAGCTGAATGTGTCGGGGACACCCCAGGCACTGTGCTATCTCTGGGGGGTACACATGTGATAGCCTGTGTGCTTCACAGCCTGAGCGTCCCTCTTTCTGCCTGATAATTCCCAGGAAGGAGAGTGGGATGTGGAGCACATCACTGCACTGCAAGATGCAGTGCCAGGTGCTTCCCATCCCTCTTTAGATCAAGGCTGTCTCTGGCCCGTGGTTAATGGAGACCACCAGAAAAAGGAAGAAACTCGCCAGGGGTGACCGAGGTGGCTCATTTCTGCCCTAGGAGAATTCAGTGAAGCTTGGCCTGTGGTAGAGCAGGAGAACAAAGAGGAGGAGAAGGGAGGCTCAGCAGCTAGCAGGAGCTGCTGCCAACTGCCCACATTTTCCTTTGTCCACTCTGACCCCCTGTGTGAAGCTTTTTACCCATCCCCCATGAGGTACCCATAGGATAACCAAAGAGATCTATCTTACTCTCTCTAAAAAGATCTTATTTGCCTCTTTTTCTTCCTTTTTTTTTTTTTTTTAAGTACTGCAAATTTATTTTTTCCTCTAGCTCTCTGGTCCTTTTCATTTTGCCACTAAAGCACTTGAGCTGGGAGAAGAGAAAAGAGAGTGCTGGTGAGACTGCTTATGCCAGCCTCTCTTGCATGACAGGAGGAAAGGGATGGAAATGCAGTTAAGAGAAAATACCTGAAATACATGGTGATGGAAATTGTCTGGCTGAAGTTCGAGAACTTTCCCATGTGACCTGACAGAGCTGTGATGAACCTCAATGCCTTTTTCATGAGTTACATCTCACTTTATGACTGTGCTAGAGAAAACAAAATTGAAATCTTGTTCTGTAGGTCACCTCTGAGGAGTGGTCACCCAAAAGAGAAGAAGATGGTGTGAACAGTCTTAATTTCCTCTCATTTTGTTTTGACAAAAGGAATTCAGGGTTTCACTATTTTGTGTAAGTGAAGTTAAAGGGGCAGATCAGACTGAGATGACAGCTTAAGTCTGGGCAGCTGACCATGCAGCGGGAATTTGTCAAAATAGTATTTCATGACAATATGTAAAAGCTCCCACTCAGTAAGAGTATTTTATGTTGCTGGACTGCAGATGAATGCTCCTGACAAACCCAAGCCTGCATTTTCTTCTCCCATAACCAGTTCTCTATGCTGGTCCTGGGTTTCCTGTTGCTCCCTGTCCTGTGATGCAGAGTTAATGCACTTGTGCTTTACAGGACAGAAGCTCCACGGAGAGTTTTCATAGCTGTTTTTTTTTTTTTTTTCCCCAGGGGAACTTTACTTTATGTCTACTGGTGTACCAAGTGCCACAGCTCCCAACGGAGTGGTGTACAAAGTGGTGGACACCTCTAGGTATGAGACGTTCTTGTTGCCAAGCCAAAATGTGGTGCAGTGTGTCCAGGTGTGGATGTGATGAATGATGAGTCTCCTACCTTGGAGACTTTAAGACCCATCTGGATGTGTTCCTGTGTGACCTGCCCTAGACTAGATGGTTCTGCTCTGGCAGGGGGGTTGGACTTGATGATGTCTGGAGGTCCCTTCCAACCCCTAACATTCTGTGGTTCTGTGATATGTTGACTAACCAGCTCTTCTGAGAGGGAGCCTATGCTGCTTAGTGATCACCAACTTGTTATGGAGCTTGTCAGTGTTATGTGGGTTGGGAAATTTGTGCCTGAAAGCTAAACCAGTATTTTATGGGTGGCTTGTCTTTCTCACAAAAAATTTCTCTAGATTCCTGCACAAAAGGAGGCAGTTTTTCTAAAGGTGTTTATTCTCAGTTCATCTCCATCCTTTGCAGTTGGCTGCATCTCCCCTAAGAGCCCCATTCCCAGGCAGCTGCAGCCAAAGCTCACCCAGCATGACCTGCAGTGCTTTCTTGGGCAAACCAGAAATGAATGGCAAAATGCACGTTCTTTTTGTGTTTCAAAGAGTAAAATGGCTTGAACAAAGAAATAAGACCATTGTTACACCTTCTGGACCTCACATGCATGTACCTGAGACTGGGCAAGGCAGGGGACAGCTTGTGTTTTATGGGAAGACTTACAGCTGTTTTTTCCATCTTCTCGTTTTTTTAAGCATTGCTATTATTGGCTAAACAGCAAAGTACTTTCAGCCAGAGATGTAGAGTGTGTCTTTTGTAGCTTTTTTTTAATGGATTAAATTTACAGCTTTATTTTGATCCAAACCACTCGTCTGGTTTTATGTTGGAACCAGAGCCCGAAGTTAAACAGCCCCCAGAGCTGCCATGTGGTTTCTTCCGCCTTTCCTCTGTCAGAAGCATTTTCCATTATCTAACACACTGGAGGAGTTCCTGTAAACTGTGTATTAAGAGACTGGTGTTACACAACCTTTGCAAAAATAAAGAAAGCAGAAGTCAAAATCAAGTCACAAGTTTAAGTTTAAAAAGAAGTTTCTTTCATGTGTAGGGTATAGAAAAAACTCCCAGAAGAATTCATAAAAGTAGGGAGCATCCCTGTGTCAGTTGAGAGTGAAGCTCTTTGACTTCCACAGAAGTTCAGGTTCAAACAATCCTAATTACAAACGAGTTACACCCTCCAAATGCAGACATCAAGCATCTTTGACCCAGTCTGAAAACCTCTGAAGAGGCCTGTGGGTTAACAAGACAGCTGTTGTAGGAAAAAGTGATGATGAACAGGATGTAACTTCTCAGAAGTGAGATACACCTCCAGAGCAAACAAATTTGTGTAAAAATAATACATCATCCTAAGAGGGAGCCTCCATAGGAGATACTTAGAGCTCTTGTTTGAAACAAATGCATTTTTGGTACTACTTTTGTAGTTGTTAGTCTGTTGTTTGGGCTTTATGTATGAATAATAGTTTGTTGTTTTGCTTCTCTGAAGACAGCCTGAAAACCTGTGTACACATGACCTTTATGTCAGATGTTCAACAGATAGTCAAGTTTTGTAATTTTTGTTTTCTGTTTGCTTAAGCTTTTTCTGTAATGCTTGAACCTGCCAGTGGTTTATTTCCTCAATGGATTCAGCAATGGCAAGTGAGAACACAGCCAGAGGACCTCACTGCCTTGTGAATATTTGGACTTCGATCAATGGAGATATGTGATTGTTTAATTAAGTTTTCTACTGTAAGAGATTACTTGGATCATTTAAACAGACATTTCTTCTTTCCTACTGAGTACTACATTCACAGGAAGATGGGAAGCAAAGGCTCACAAGGCCGAGGGAAAGGAATTAATTGTGCACTGTATGTGTCCCTTTTTTGCAGGAGAGCACCACCCGGAGAATGCCAAGTCGAGCCGTTGCCAGTGAGAGTAAAAAGCAAGCGCACCCCGTTTGTTCCAAAGGAGAGTAAGTGTCACTCTTGCTGTTTATTCTTGGTGCATGTTGGCTGGCAGTTAATACAAACCCTATCACACTATCTCTGTGTGCCTGGAGAACACCCAGAACTTCACTCTTCATAGTATCCTCAAAACTAATTCTTACCAGCTGTTTGGGATCTGAAGAGTTGGTTCAAATAAAGTATAAGGTCTTTCCTCTCTCCTGGCTGTGTGAAATCTTCTCTGTAGTTCATTTTCCCTTGTCCATGCTACATTGTACCAATATTGTCACCAACTTGTTTTTGCCTGTAGCTGTCTCTGTACGGAGACGCTATGTGCAATGCTGCTTTACAGGGATAAGGGATTTTTTACACTGCCTTCAGGTTAGGAGGAGCACTTCAGAGGCTGATGGACATCATGGCTAAAGGGTTGAGAAATATCTCATTGAGCAAGATGAGAGCTGAGTTCTTAGTTGGGAGAAAATATGGGGTGAGAAAACCCACCCCAAAAAGCTCCCAAAAGAATCGGTGTGATCAGCCATTCAAGTGAACTTTAGGCTTATCCAGACCCTCCGGGGCTTTTTAATTGCTTCAGACTGAATGAAGTATTGTACTGCTCAAGCTCGAGTAGTCAATGATGGAGCTGAACTTGAAGCAAGCCAAGTAGTATTTATGTTAAGTGCAAAAAGCTAAATACACTATTAGGATCTCAAAATTAGATTAGGCAGCATCACATTTCTTTTCCCCTGTGCATTTTGTTTACACATGTAAATACCAAGGCAATATTCTAACAGATTTGCCATTAAGTTAATATTACTGCAGGAACTCTAGTGTCAGAATACTTTTATTTAAATTTTAAATACATTAATCATATTATACTGCATTTGAGTCATTGACAGCTCCTATAGCTTTGACTTCAGGGAGGAGTAAGGGCACTCAGCACCCTGCAAGATGGAGTCTTTAAGATGGAACAAGATCTGAGGCTAATTATTGACTGTTGACATGCCTGAGCACTCACCAGAAACATTGTCTTCAGAAACATTCTCCTTTGCCAGATGTGCATGGTTTCCAAACATCAGTAACTTGGTTCATGTTCAACCAGTTTTGTCCTTCTGCATTTTTCTCTATGCAAGTCCAAAGTTCAGATTTTTTTAAACTGTAAACAAACCCAAAAGATTTAGTTATACATATAAGTTATCATCATAAATTAAAACCCAGAAATGGTGGAGTGATTTTGCTAAGTGTCTCAGGAACTAAATTCATTTTTAGGTGAAAACCAAGCATGAAAATTTTGATTCAGAATCATGCAAAGCAGGACACCTAGCTGTAAATGTTTTCCTGTTTCGGTTAGTGTTTAAGGTGAATGTATCAGAGTTGCCAAGGCATGCAGCTTGCATTAGCTGGATGACTGCATTTGTTGCAAGTGTATTTACTAAATACCTTGACAAAGAGTAATATATACTAACAACTTGATTCAGTGAGGTGAAAAGCACTCCAGCTGACCTTTACCTTTCATGCAGTCCTACTTACTATATGAGTTTGAGGGTTTTTAAGCGCTTTGCCAGACCAGCCTCCAGCAACTGAGGTGTGCACAGATAAGGCTTTCGTACCTATTTCTTGCCTTGAGAACCTCAGCTTCCAAAGAAAGGAAATATTTTCATGTCACAAGTACAATTCTTCTCCAAAGAGTGTTATTTGGAAAAACTAGACCATTGCAAGGGTTTGTCTCTTGGGCATGATAGCTATTAAGCACAAATAAGACAGTCGTATTTTTCGTCACCTCCGTACTACAGAGAAAATGATGAATGAGAATGGATAAATCTAGGATATAATTAAAAAAGTTGTGATGTTTTTGCAGACATCCCAGCTCAGTTGATTGTTATTCTGAGAAATTCTGAATCGCTTCCTTCTGACAAGTTAAAACTTATTTTTAAGCTAAAAATAGAGCCCATGTGAATAAGCAAGTCCAGTAATGCATGGAAACTGTGACAGCAAAGAATTTTGAGCTCTTTGGAGTTCAAGGCTCTTTTTTTTGTTTCCGTAAGGAAGAAAAACCCCAACCGCAAATCCCACTTTATGTGTTGTCCTGGCAACTCTGTTCTTTTTGCACATTCCAGTTGCCAGAGAGAATTGATTTTGAATGTTCCTGATTTCAGCTCCTCTGAATAAAGCATCTGGCGCAGGGGGGAGGCCGACACTCTCGGTCTGGTAACAATCCAATCACTGGTAATGAAAAGAAAAGCAGAAATAGTGCCTGACTTTAAAATGCTTTCAGCAGGGGAGAAGGGTATGGTGGGGAACTCCTCTTCTGGCAGCGAGTCTCCAGCGCCCACCCTTCAATAGCCGGGTTGAATGAAGCTTTGCTAATAAACTGCTTGGAGTTTCCTTCTTGGGAGAGGCTTACTTGCTGGCATTAAGCCCTGCAGTCCTCTCTGCTCACTAAAAGCAGCCCTGAGGAAATATTGGCTCACCAGGAGTGTTGTCGCTTCTCAGCAGGCTCGAGTAAGCAAATTTCCAGGAAACGGGTCAAAAAATCAGCGCTGATTCATATGGTATTGAATCCCTATAAGTAAGGATTTATAAGTATTGTCCATAGTATTGTCCAGTAAGTACTGTATTGTCCACAGAGTGGCAGACTGACGATTTCCTGGGCTTGTCCCCCAACAGAGTTTATTATGAAGACGCCAGCGCCACGTCCCCGACCGAGGGCCCCGGGCGAGGCCC